GTATTTATTAATCTGTCATTTAAACAGTTAACCTCATTAAAGCAGGAGCAGAATGCGGAAGATGCAATGTGTGGTCGCGCAGCTCCTACAGCATCATCAATAAAGCAAAAAATGCATGGCTAAAATAGTTAGAGGCCACACGCCAGCCTTGGTTTTTGAAAACAGTAGCAGGTTAATATATTTTCTGTTTAATGTCTGCTTTGTTGTCAGAATTTCAGTTGGTGTTGGATCCTTACTTAGGGTGGTATTCAGCTAAAAAGTCCCATCAGCAGAAGTCCTGTTCAAGGAATTCCACTTGTACAACAGGACTTTTCCCCATCCTTTCCCCCCATGTGCACCCCAAAATCAGCTCAGAGTGGGTGGAAGAAAAGTGTGTTATAAATTTAAGAACATAAATACAAATAAATTGAAGGTAGTCATTACTGTATGATTAGCTTAGTCTGGAACCATCCTAGTATTTTCATTGCAGGTGTCAACATTTGGGGTTGAATATTTAATTCTGAGTAGATATGTGTCAGTGCTAATATTTTTATGGAAAAAACTTGCGTTTAGATTTCAAAAGTTGGACGATGTCATGTGTTCAAACTTCAACATCTGCCATTTCACTTTCTGATAATTAAACATATTTTGGACTAGCCATAGTTTGCCAAATTCATTCCATGTATAGCATCGGTGTTTTTTGCTTGTTGTCATGCATTGGGGTGGCTGCTAAAAATATGTACAAGTCTATATGACTCCTAATTTCTTTGCTAAGCAGGCAGAAGGCTCTGTGTATTAATACTTGGCAACTGTATAGCAATTTATACATGTCCAACACAATTCATGTGCCTTTAACTCAGGTTGATACATATGTGGGAAAATGTGGTGAGAGAACGGACAGTACAACGTCAGATTGCAGTTTTAAAAATCTACTCTATAGAAGAGAAAACTTCCTGCTAATTTTTGGAAAGTTCTCTCCCAGCCATTTCTTCTTCTTCTTCTTCTTCTTCTTCTTCTTCTTCTTCTTCTTCTTCTCTCTCTCTCTCTCTCTCTCTCTCTCTCTCTCTCTCTCTCTCTCCCCCCCCCAATATGTAGACACACTTACCCTGGCAGGTTGTCGTGGTATAATATATTTTATCACTACAGTGCACTAATTCTTGCAAATTTACTGTAAGGTGGGCTGGTATTATTGTTGTAGCCTGATGAGAAATTAGGCAATTGTGTGAATTCATGGCTGGGGCTTCCTGACTGTCACTTAATGCCACTCCTCTATGGCAGCCCTCTGCATTAGCATGATTGAACCTTCTCTGGGGCTCTAGTGGTTTCTGTCTGGCTTTTTATACTCTGCTACACCAAATCCCATTTTGTTCTTTTTTCTCCAGAACAGGAAGATCTTTGGTCTCTCTACTCAGATCTTGAAAGAGTAGCAAGGCGCTTTCTTATAAGGCCATAATATATCTAAACATACCGTACGAAAATGTTTTATGAAACTTACAATTGCAATCTTGTAGAGAACCTTACTGATTCTGACCTCCAGTCGGGATTCTGACACTATTCTCACTTTAAGGAGGCACTCCTTGGTCATTATAAATAGGGCTGTGTTTCTCCAGCGCCACAGGGGTCATTTTCACATGGTTAGCTATGTCTTGCAGGTTTCTTTTTCAAGGAAACAATTGTGTCAGTTTCTTCTGTCTGCAGATTTGCATAATATACTTCTGCTCCATCTCGGACTTCAGAAACTCTCTTTCCTAGGCTCTCGTCAGAAAGGTTGTCACTAAACTGAAAGAATTCTCCCGCAATGCTCTGCTCATCTTTTGGTATTTTACTCCAATGTATCAAAAGAATACAGACAGAAAATGTTCTTCGCGAAATACATCTTATTGCACTTTTGCTGCCAGGTGTCTCTATGCTTGTTTTCCTAAATTTAAAATCCTTCCTGAAAGCAAACCAATCTGGCCTCTAGTCTTTCCTCTTTGGAGGTAAAATATTTGGGATGGGGTGGGTGGAGAACTCAAATAGCTGTTTATTTAGCATAGGATAGAAATAGACCAAAGTATCAAGCTGGCTCATATTTCTCAAAGGCAAGAGATTTATGAATGAATTCCTGGAGAATCCTTGTTGGACCAGGCATGGAGTTTTATCTTTTCTGGATAGGATGTTTGCAAGCAACATGGTGCTGAGCCAACACATATTCAGAGCACCGAGCTGCTGTGTGTACCATTTCACTGTGCAGTGGTGGCCAGTAATCCAGATTGCTGGAGCTGCCAGAATGTTCAGATGTACACTTTTAAGTAAGTAAAATCCAAGAGGAAATTTGCACGGAGACATTTCTGTAGTGTAGAGGTTGTATTCCCCTTTTGGATACTACATCTGCCATAAAATCAGGAAAGAAACGTACTCCCTTCCCCCCTCCTGAAGCTGGACATCCTAAGTCTTTGAATCGGCTGCAGAATCTGGGTGGTTGTTTGTATGATTTTAGTTTTTGGCATAGTTTTATCCAACCTTTACATTCAAATGCAGTTTCTTTTTACACTACTGGGGACAGTCTGGACCTGGGGGAAAGGGTTCTTTTGCACTCTCTCTGTCCTTCGGCTACAAAAAAAATCTGGCTTGCAATACATATTTGCCTATCTCACAAGATGTGGATATATTTTGAACCAAGCTCCCTTGCCCCTGAAAATGCTCTTCTACCTGCAAATTACATCAATTTATTTATGAGTCTCTAATGCCTGTGTGATCTGGTCATGTGTGTGGAGGGGCAGGGCATCCATATTGTCAATAAGGTCTTTTCAAAATCAAATAACTGTTTGCTGACTTCCCAACCTCAACACACGGCTCCTGACTCGCCAGGAACATAAACTGTCAATTACTTGTATTGGGCTCAGCTTGCACCTGACATGAGCTGGGCAGCAAGACCTGACCTGCAGCAACAGGTGGCTTCTCTTGGGCAACTAGCACTATGACTTGGGTAGCCCACACTGCTGCTACTACTACCACCTCCTCTTCTCTCTGATAAAATTCTTGATTGGCAGTGCAATAATATTCTGGTAAAAATAATAATTCAAAATTCTTTTTTTAAAAAAGGTTAGTAGATGATGCTTGCAGGCAGTTACAATTAGAAGTGAGGAGAAGAGGTTCATATTGTTGCTACTATTGATAACATAATTCTGAAAGCTGTTGGTGGTAAGGAAAAGATAGGTCTATAGAAAAGAGAATTCTTAGATGCCAAGATCCAGGTTTGGGGCAAGTACTCTCTGGTGAGAGAACCCCAGCAGAGATTTTGTTGGGAGCCAGCCAGAGTGGTTGGCGAAGCCCAGCCAGATGTGCAGGGTATAAATAATAATAACTTCTTCTTCTTCTTCTTCTTCTTCTTCTTCTTCTTTAAAATCACAAAATATGCAGCAAAGTAAAGCATGGAAACATAGGCTGTTAGACCTTTAAAATATGACCTTGTGAGTTCCCAAACTTCCCTCTTCCTGTAGCATAGAAAAGACCACACGTTTGGTTTACTTACTCTCCAAACATCACGTTGAGGTGCTTTTCAATGCAGCATTCAGAAGGCACAGGCAGTACAACTTGGCTTAGTTACAGTGGTGAGAGTTCCTTAATTATTGGTACACAATAATGGCTTGTAAGAGCCATGAGGTCTGAGCTTGGAACAACCAGCTAAGACATCTTTACATGCTAAGCTTCTCAGGTAGACTAAAAGGGAACAACAGGCTTGATTACTTTCCTCCCAAGGTGAAGGGGAGTGACCTAGAGAAGCCTGGCAGAACAGCTTACTCCTATTACATTAACCCCTTCATGCAGTAATTATACTTAAGCATGTTGGTTACATGAAACTGGTAATCCCACAAAAGCTTTCAAGAGATAACTGTACATGCTGGTCCTTCATTGTTCTGCATCACTGTGTTTGGTTTCAGCAAGCCTTGGTTTATTGTGTAGCACTAAGAAGGCACTTGCAGTGGTGAGCTTGAGAGGGTGCACATTTTCTTGCCCTGGAAGAAATTTATTATTCACCAATAAAACAAAACAGAACAGAAGAGCACAGAAGGCACATAAATTTGATTGTTTCATTCAGGTGCAAAATAACTGAAACCTAGCTTCTTTTGCTTGGCATTCTGAAACTACTTGTATTTCTGTGCCCCACGTGTGCTTTGGCTAAGCGTTCTACCAAAAGAAGTCTTTCCTTCTCATTTGGTAATATCCAAACACCCTCTCTGCAGTGTACCGTATTCAGACCTACTTAGGTCCTTTGCCTTTAAGTTATAGTGGCTATTTAAAACAAACCTCTAGTGAATTCTGATGACATCAAGATTTATTTCATTATCCTGGATTCTTGAGTGGTTGTTAAGATGCTGCAAAAGTTATGTCAGTGTATGACCACAAACTAGCTCAGTTTATAAGCATTTCTCCATAGCTGGGATTGGCCACCACACTCATCAGCCACTGTAAGGTAATGTACATTTGAGTCTGTACTAGGTTTCCACTGGCTGCCCCACTGATATATTTTCAGGCATCACTACCGATCTTCTGATCCCATTTCAATATACACCACTTTTGAATTGCAGCATACACATGCTTGAAATCCCATTGTGAATATTAACTTCAATGCAGAGTAGCACATATGCAGATCACGGAACGTAATGAAGCTTTTCTCATTTTCTGTTTGGAATCCCACCTGTATCTACCCCATGTGTTCTGTTGCTGCAAATCTTGTGGATGTTTCAAAAGCATATTTGAATGTGGAAGAGGGTGGCTAAATGGCCGACAGTCAGGAGAGTGAGAAAACACCCTGCGGGCATGAACCATTTTGTACATTTTGCTCAAATGAATTCACTGGATTGTAGCTTACTTTTGTATATATTACCATTTTGCTTCAAGCATAATACATGGAGTAAAGAGGCATGGTCTAATGGAGTCAAGTGCATCATGTACAGAAACCTTGCTCTTGTATATCTTGCTACAGTTGTATATTTGCATTAATTCTAATTCTTTCTTTCCCCTCATCTTTCTTCCAGTTTGTGCTGGCACGGAGAACAAGCTAAGCTCTTTGTCTGATCTTGAGCAACAGTATCGTGCATTGCGGAAGTACTATGAGAACTGCGAGGTAGTTATGGGTAACCTAGAAATCACCAGCATTGAACATAACCGAGATCTCTCCTTCTTACGGGTAAGTGACATCTCTGCTACTTTAAAAATACATGTGAGCTGACATTTGGTTTTGCAATGACAGATTGAGGCTGTGTACAGATGACAGCTCTACAGAGATTTTTAGGGGGTGATGTAGAGCTATATTGCCAGTGGTACACAGGGTGTTTTTGTGCAGGTGTCCTGCTGTGGCCTTTAGTCAGATTGATTTTGCAAGTTCCCATAGGGCTCTAATTTGTACTCTGTAAAAGACAATGTTAGCCTTTGGAGGAATGCAATAGATCCCTGGAACGGATGTGTGTCTGTTTTGGTGTAGCTGTTGCCAATGCCTTTTGTGTAGTGCCTAGGAGAGTAACACGTACAGATCTGCTCTGTAATTACTAGAGCAACTTTGAAACTTTGCTCTGTGCAACATGAAATACTTTCTGCATAGCTAATTGAGTAATTTACCTTGTGACAATGACTAGCAGTCCTAGTCAGCTTTGCCACTTAGACAGTTTCACTACTCCAAGCTGTTAAATGGAACTACAGTGGTACCTCGGGTTACATACACTTCAGGTTACATACGCTTCAGGTTACAGACTCCACTAACCCAGAAATATTACCTCGGGTTAAGAACTTTGCTTCAGGATGAGAACAGAAATTGTGCTCCAGTGGCACAGCTGCAGCAGGAGGCCCCATTAGCTAAAGTGGTACTTCAGGTTAAGAACAGTTTCAGGTTAAGAACAGAACCAATTAAGTTCTTAACCCGAGGTACCACTGTGGAGAAAGTGGCTGCATTTATTTGGTTATATTAAGTTTCTATACTGCCCTTCATCCGAGGATCACAGGGGAGTTTACACTACAAAAGCAAAAAGATACATAACATAGTAACAAACTAAAACAATAACCCCCCAACACATATTTAATTAGGGAAACTGAGTAAACACCGTATTTTTCGCTCCATAAGATGCACCTGACCATAAGGCGCACCTAGTTTTTAGAGGGGGAATGCGGGGGGGGGGGGATTATTTAAAGGGAGCGCTGAGCAGAGCCTGTCTGCATCCCCGGCTCTGCTCAGCGCTCCCTTTCACGAGCCGCGTGGAGCGTGTGTGCGGCGCTTGCAGGCTTTTCCCCGAGGAGAGAGAAGCCCCCAAGAGCCACACACACACTCCACGCGGCTCTTTAAAGGGAGTGCGGCTATCCCTGGCTTTTGCGGGAGGTGGGGGAAGGGACAGAGCACGTAGCTTATGGGATAGCCGCACGCAGCCTCTCCCGGGCAAGGGGAGCCTTCATCCCCTGCCTGGGAGAGGCTGCGCACGGCTAAGGCTCCCCCAAGAGCTGCATGCTCCCTTTAAAGAGCGCGCGGAGTGTGTGTGCGGCTCTTGGAGGCTTTTCCCCAAGGAGGAAAAGCTCCACACGGCTCTTTAAAGGGAGCGCTGAGCAGAGCCTTCCGCCTGCATTCGCTCCACACACACATTTCCCCTTACTTTTTAAGAGGGGAAAAGTGCGTCTTATAGAGTGAAAATATGGTACATATCCCTCCCCGTGAAATGAAGCTTCAGCCTTTGTCGTGATACTATGCTATCTATGATCAAAATTCCAGTGCGGGATTAAGGCTGGTATGGCCAGAGGCAGAGCTAGCTGCTCTGGCACCTGGAGCGGCACACATGCTGTGCACCTGAGAGCAGGGATAGCCGCCCGCAGCAGCGTCCCAGAGGGGCGAAACGATGTCACCCCCCCTCAGGGATGACACCCGGGGTGGGCCAGTGAGTGTGGCAAAATGAATATAAAAGGGCAGGTCATTGTTAGTGCACCACAGTTGGTGCACCACAGAAATTACCATCTGTGTGCTCACTTGATGATATATTCTATTATTGATGACCAGATTACATAGACTAGGAATTTAAAAAAAAACTTGCAAATGAGAGAGAACTGCAAGATCATGAAGACTGATGTTCTCTCTCTCTCTCTCTCTCTCTCTCTCTCACACACACACACACACACACACACACACACACACACACACAGTTGAGGGAGTCAGGGATGTTTAGCCTGGAAAAGAGGAGAATGATAGGAGATATGATTTGTTGCCGTTTAGTCGTTTAGTCGTGTCCGACTCTTCGTGACCCCATGGACCAGAACGCGCCAGGCACTCCTGTCTTCCACTGCCCCCCAGTTTGGTCAAACTCATGCTGGTAGCTTCGAGAACACTGTCCAACCATCTCGTCCTCTGTCGTCCCCTTCTCCTTGTGCCCTCCATCTTTCCCAACATCAGGGTCTTTTCCAGGGAGTCTTCTTCTCATGAGGTGGCCAAAGTATTGGAGCCTCAGCTTCAGGATCTGTCCTTCCAGTGAGCACTCAGGGCTGATTTCCTTCAGAATGGAGAGGTTTGATCTTCTTGCAGTCCATGGGACTCTCAAGAGTCTCCTCCAGCACCATAATTCAAAAGCATCAATTCTTCGGCAATCAGTCTTCTTTACGGTCCAGCTCTCACTTCCATACATCACTACTGGGAAAACCATGGCTTTAACTATACGAACCTGTGTTGGCAAGGTGATGTCTCTGCTTTTTAAGATGCTGTCTAGGTTTGTCATTGCTTTTCTCCCAAGAAGCAGGCGTCTTTTAATTTTGTGACTGCTGTCACCATCTGCAGTGATCATGGAGCCCAAGAAGGTAAAATCTCTCACAGCCTCCATTTCTTTCCCTTCTATTTGCCAGGAGGTGATGTGGCCATGATCTTCGTTTTTTTGATGTTGAGCTTCAGACCATATTTTGCACTCTCCTTTTTCACCCTCATTAAAAGGTTCTTTAATTCCTCATCACTTTCTGCCATCAGTGTTGTGTCATCTGCATATCTGAGGTTGTTGATATTTCTTCCAGCAATCTTAATTCCTGCTTGGGATTCATCCAGCCCAGCCTTTCGCACGATGAATTCTTCATATAAGTTAAATAAGCAGGGAGACAATATACAGCCTTGTCGTACCCCTTTCCCAATTTTGAACCAATCAGTTGTTCCATATCCAGTTCTAACTGTAGCTTCTTCTCCCACATAGAGATTTCTCAGGAGACAGATGAGCTTATATATATATATATATATATATATATATATATACACCCACACCCACACCCACACCCACACACATCCATAATTTTGAATATTAAAAAATTGCATGAAAAGGAATTAATAGATGTAGTAATAATATAATATAATATAATATAATATAATATAATATAATATAATATCAATATCTTGCATGCAAGTATGCTACGGGTGAGCAACTTGTGGAGGCCCTGATCCAAATCCATTCCCTTGAGAAATGCTTTGTCTGAGGAAGTTGAAGCAGTATACCTCTAAATAAAACTTACTGGAAATCCCAGATGTGGACAGGAGTGTTTCCCAGGGGCATTAGGTTGGCCCTTGTGAGAACAGAGTGCTGGACTCAGATGTGCTCTTTTCCTGAATCAGCAGCAGGGCTCTCTTTATGTTCTTCAACTTAGAGGCAAAAGCCACATAGCAGGCAGACCTAGTGGGAACAGAACCTCCTGCCAGGCCCCACCACCCCTCACTCACATCTCCTAGTGGTCCTCCAAGAAAACTAGTTGCTGACTATACAGTAAATGTTCATAGAGATAGCGGCTCCCTGTAATATTTTCCCTTAACTTCAAGCTTCTGTCTAGGGCTTATTTCTCCTTTCCTTTCCTTTTTTTAAAAAAGACCCCTCTGCTGTTCCTTTTGACTTTAGCTTTCTAAATAAAGAACTGAGTGAAATGTTATTTGAGGCTGCTAAACTTGAAGAAATAAGAGCCAGCAGGTGGCAAACCCACAGAATCTCGCCATTTGGGCGTGGGCATGGGTGGGTGTTTTGTAGTAATAGTTACTGAGGATTTCATGCAGTTGTTTTTTATTTTTACCTGAGACTGCCCCCTCACAGATGTCTCAGCAAAAAAGAGCAGCTCAAGTTAATGTGATAAATTATAGCAATTTAGTTAGAAAACAAAACAGAGAAAAGACGTTTTCGGAGGCAGAAATAAAAGGTGGCATGTTTATACTAATAATTTAACATTCATTAGCTCGAGGATGCTGCTTATTTCTTCATTTAAAAAAACACATTTTAATGGCCTAACAAAGGTGGCAGATGGGATATAATCAAGAGCCCAAGCTACTTGTCACTTTCAACTTGGAAAATCATGAAATCTTTCCTGCTATTTCTGAGGCTCCCATTCTTACGAGAGCAGCTGCCTTCTGCTGACTTGAAATGGGCTTCATGTATCTATTTATGCATTTAATTATATAATTAGCATCATGGAGCTTTACAGTGTTGCAGTAGTAGATGGGTTCTTGCTTTGAGGTGCTTGCAATCTACAATTGGATATTATCAATTTCCACTTGGATATAGGGGACACAACAGGGCATGGATTGGTAGCCTGTGGCCCTCCAGATGTTATTGTATTACAATTTCCATCATCTCTGGCCATTTGTAATTGTCAACCTGGCAGTGCAGGGAACTGGGAGCAGAAAGTATTACGGAAGTCAGAGTAAACAGGAGAAGAACACGCGTTTGGCTGAGGTTTTGGTAGGGGATGCCAACTTGTATCAAAGGTGTAATAGAAAAGGCTATTTTTCTATCAGCCTTAGTTCATATTATACAAGGCAGTCTCTTCACCATGTGGCCACACAACAAGAGGCAAGCAAGCAGTTTTTACCTCAATAGTTCTAAGACTCTGCAACCTCTCCAGAGTGGTTCAAAGCTGTTCTGCGACTTTGGTGATACTATTCGGAGAGGATATTGTAAAACTTTGCCCTTTTTTGAAAGGCTTACAGCATTTGAGTGTGGGGAATGTAGTCTCATGTTGCAGCTGCTCTTGATTGTCTTGATGGTACTGATACATTAATGACAGCCTTTTATTTATTTGTGGTTATGCATCAAGTAGCACTTCATTCCCGCTTGCTCTGGGTGCCTGTTGGGATTTGGATCAGCAGAACAGCTGCTACTATTTTACTGGACTTTACTACTTTACCATCACCTTCAGGTCCTGTGA